CCCCGGCAGCTGTCTGCTCGCTTACCGCCCCCGGCGCGTCCTTGGCACGGGTACCTGCACCCTTCCGCTTCGCCGATTAATGGGGCTTCCAGCCCTATTGTATGCGTCCCGAAAGTTTAAAAATGCTCACCTGACAATATGAGCCATTCATCCATCCATCTTCTGTAAACACTTCATGGGGGTCTGGAGCCAATACCAAAGGCTACAGGAAATAACCCAGGAGGGACACCAACCCATTGCAGGGCACAGTCACGTACCATTCATACACACAAGCACACCAATGGTGTATTCTGGTAACTCTAGTTACCCTCAGCATGTTTTCGCACTCTGGGGGGGAAACCGGAGTACCCGGAGGAAACCCCACGACGACACAGGGAGAGCATGCAAACTCCACACACACGGAGCCACAGCGGACACACAAACCCTCATGGAGACTCCAACTCCGGTCCCAGAGGTGTGAGACAACAGCACAAACCACTGCATCACTACATGTCGTCCCCCAGAATGACACAATGAATCACTAATCTGGGGCAGATCTGAAACCACGTGTTCTGGAGCAATGAAGAAGCTGAACCTACACTCTTGGTCTGCTAAGTATGTGAAATATAAATGACGATGAAGATGATGATCACAATGCCAAGGATCAAAATGGCAAGGAACTGCAACAAACCCTTCTTTAAGGTCCAACAGGCGCACCAACCTTCAGGTTATGTATCTTTAACCACCACCTACCTACCCCCTACCTCTAATATATCTTGTGCTTGTTGCAAGTTTTTGTATATAATAGCAATGATACAAACACCTACCCGTAACTGAATAGCAAATACAGGGTCCAACCCAATTCCGGTTCTGTTTCTCTAGAGTGAGGCAGCAATTCCAAGGTCACCTCCAATTCCAGGAAGGCAACTGGAATTTACTACTGTAAGTATTCTCAGTTCAATTCAATTAAAGGCACATGGACACGGGCCCTCGTCTCCCACACCCAGTGGCCCTGTGCTTTGATGCAGCAGCGGTGTTTAGCACCATTCAAACCACACATTTGCTTAGGGCCGAGGTTTGAGGGCCCCCTGTAGGTCACAAACAGTCGCCAAATGTTACATAAACAGGTTCCCCATGTAGGAGATGCAGAAGCACCGTGTTCTGCTGACCAGTTATTTTTTTTGAGTGAGGCCCCAAAAACAACAAAACCATGTGCTCCCTGACCCCAAGCAGTGCTCTCACCTGTATGTGTGTGTATGTAATATAGGAGTGTTTCCCAATTCCACCTCGGGGACCCACAGACGATCCATGTGTTTACCGGGAGCTGGGAGGGAGCAAAAACATGGACTGTCTGGCAGGGAGCTCGGAGGAAGCAAAGATATGGACTGTCTGGCAGGGAGCTCGGAGGGAGCAAGAACATGGACTGTCTGGCAGGGAGCTCGGAGGGAGCAAAAACATGGACTGTCTGGCAGGGAGCTCAGAGGGAGCAAAGATATGGACTGTCTGGCAGGGAGCTGGGAGGGAGCAAAAACATGGACTATCTGGCAGGGAGCTCGGAGGGAGCAAAAACATGGACTTGACTGGAAAACACTGCAATATAGGATATGTGAAAAGTAGCAAATGTACCTGTACTCATTTCAAAATACACACACACACACACATTTGTTTTCATATCTTTGTGGGGACCGTCCCTTCATTTCTATGGGTATAACCCTAATCCCAACGATGACAACCGTCACCCCTACCCAGCCCCAACCTTAACCATGAGTAACCAAGGAAAATACTTTTTGATATTTGTAGTTTTTTGATTGCAGTTACGGATTTAAAAAAAATAGATTTTCCCCTTGCGATGACCCCGCAATGTGATCCACAATGTAATACAAACATACCCCCCCCACACACACACACACACACACACACACACACACACACACACACACACCAGCGACACGACCCTGGAGGTGTGCAGCTAAAATGCTGCCCACTGAGCCACCCTGCTGCACGAATATAAAATATAAGACATAAGAGCAGAGAAAAACTAAATATTAGAATAAAAACAATCTTGTATGTTCACTGTTCTGGAGATGACTTTCCCAGAAGAACAATAACCATGATAACAATTGAGACAAGTGTGGAAACATAAAGTCATCATAAGTCAGAAGAAATGACTGGAAATGTGCAGAAGCATCAGCCACACTAGTTATTCTTCGTGTTTCTAAAGACTCAGCAACTTTCGCAGTGTTCACGCTTTGCATGCAGTGCGATTCACCCACCTTCTCATAGGACAGAACGATCATCCGCACCAGAACCACATTGATCCGAGCGCCCAAGGAATTGTCATGGTAGATGTCGTTCACCTGTCGAGACAGCCAGAGGGTTTCCTCCATCGGCGTGGTTTATTGTCCTCATGCACGTGATGCATAAAGCAGGTGATGGCACTCATAACACCGCTTTATGGCTCAGCCAATAGCAGGGCATCTTTAGTATATGTATGGACCAATTAAAATGAAGGGGCGGGACAATTACAAAAAATTACAGGGGTCACCTGATCATGAGTAAAATGACACCCTAAGTCAAGTATCAACAGCAGGGATAAACTGAAGACTTAAAAGCTAAGATGAGCCCCAAACTTTAAGGCAGATTTTACCAAAATCCCAGCACAAGGCGGAATCTTCTCCATACCCTAAACTTCGTCTGCTTCACCAGATAATACTCCCCACATCAATTCTGTCCAAAGACAAAAATCTTCTCGGGTTTTAATCTCTCGGCCAGCAAATTACTTCATCACTCCAACATATTGTAACCGATTTGTATTCATATGGGGAAAATTAATTCATCACGGCAAACTGAAACGGCATTATTTATTTATGGGTTCCTATTTAAAATAATTTCTGAGAAAAATTAGACCTCACATGAAGGAAAATAAGACCAGCGATGTGCAGATTTGCTGCTCGTGGTTAAATGGATTCGACGATTAGTCATCGTTTTTTAAAAATGCCACAATAGTACATTTTAATTTGGCGCCTACATATTTTTGCCTTGAGATCTCGATTTGTCACAAGAACTAAGACTGACCAAAAGAAACAGCTTTTTCTTGGCCGTTTGAGTTCATTGGGCAATAAAACATGCACTTTTGTTTTACTCTTTCTGTTGAATCCATTAAAGGGAAGCAGTCACAGCAAAGCCAGAAGACTCAGTAGAAGTATCACTGCTTTACGGCATTGTTTCCCACCACTCAGTGAACTTTACTTTCCCTGCATTTCAAACGGCCGTATGGACAATAACACAATAAAACAGCATAATGCTAAAACAATGCCTATGCAAATACCCACATTTAAGCAGAAAGAAAATCACTAGAACCCACTGGGGAATGAAGATCGACGTATCAGACACTGACACTGATAGGAAAGGCCCGAACGGGTAGACATGTGTCACAGTAATCGTTTGGGTTTGGAGCAGCTAGTCGTCAGACGCTTGTAGGTGCTGTGGCACAATGGATAGCCTCCTGGACTTTGACTGTGTGTGGTCATTTAAAGGTTGTGGGTTCAAGTCCCACTGGAAACATTTGGCTTTTGAAGGCAGCAAGTGACTCAGTGAGTTATGATGCTGATTCTGCTGCTGGATGGTCGTCGGTGCAGATCCAAAAGTTGGCAGAATGATTTCGACATTGGCCCCTACAGCAAGGCCCTAACCCCCCAGCTGCTCCAGGGACTGACGCTGCCAGGTGCTGTCAGATACACAGCGTGTAGCTCACCCACTGTAGCATTGTGCTAAAAACACCAACGGTCATGGATTCAAATCCCAGAGAACACAGATAAATTATAACCCTTTTCCTCTACTGTAAATTGCATTGGACAAAAGCATCGCCTTTTGGGTAAAGGTGTCTGCTAAAGCAATAGTTTGAAACGCAGATACTCACGATATTCATCAAGGTCAGTAGATACTTCTGCACGTGCTCCTTGCCATGGAATTGGGATACGGAGTAGTCCACCCCGAGCAGGACCTCAATGTTGTAGACGCTCTCCGTTGCCTGCCGTCTGTGTCGCCTCGCCTCATGCACCCCCTCCTCCACTCTCGTATATAATGTCCTCCAGTCTGTCAAACCACCCATATCTACAAAGACACGGATGGTGTATTTGCTTAGTAGACAATACGTTCAGATATTTAGCAGATGCTTTCGTCCAAAGTGACGTACAAGCAAGGAAAATAGAACATTACAAACACACGTGCTGTCAAGGAGTCCACTAGGCATAAGAGCAGTAAAAGGAGACATTTTACAAAAGAGTAAAACTCCTTCATACAATAGTTTTAGTTCTGAATGCGTAATTCATCCGAACTCCAAGTATATATTTCAATTCTTAATATAGTAAGGAAATTTTAACATCTATCTCTGCGAGTCTCGACCGTATCAACGGTATCAAAAAAAAATGACCATGTTCGTCCTTTCTGTGATTTTTCAGTTAAACCAGCATTTCCACTGACGTTCACAGGAAAACGTATCATTCATCAGGAAAATTCCCATGCAGACTGGACGCACTGCACCAAACATCTGAGATAAAAGCAGAACGTTGCGATGGACAATAACAAAAATGACACATAAAATATAGTTTGCATGCCCAGTGTGTGTGTGTGTGTGTGTGTGTGTATTATGTTTGTATTACATTGTGTACCACATGGGCCCCACAATGTGATAAAAACCTGTTATTTTGACATTGTGGGGACCATTTTTTTCAGGTCCCCACAAAGATCTGTGAATGCAATGAAAAAAGTAAAAATGCCAAAAGTCTTGCATTTTGTGTGGTTACTTATGGTTAAGGTTAAGGCTGGGTAGGGGTTAATTCACCATTCATCATTTCCCCATAGAAATGAATGGAGTCCCCACAAAAATATAATTACAAACCTGTGTGTGTGTGTGTGTGTGTGCGTGTGTGCGAAAGCATCTCGAGTAAAAGTCCAAGGTGCACCTGCATTTGCTGAAAGATTTAACACATCCAAAGGTCACAGGAACCTGCGGCACATCCATCACACTTATTTATGCAGAAGGCACAGAAATCTCAGGCATTCACTGAATGCTGTAATTTTTATAGCTCTAGCTAACAAAAAAGAAACAGACAACAGCTAAGGAAGATCTATATAACAGCTATATCACAATACAGCTGGGAGGCGGCTAGAACGCACCCTCCCCCGCAGCCGCTCCTCTGCCGGGTTCTGCTGCAGCTGGGTCAGCATTTCAGTCCCGTTAGACCGGTGCCAGGCCGACCTCGGCTAAACCCTGGTCCCGGGGCTGTCAGAGTGACTCCTTCATGGGTGAGAGGTCGCCAGAGTCTTTGGGGACTGCGCTAATGCACAGGGCTGCCCTTGCGTGCCTATTCCTCTCTGACAGAGCTTCAACATTTCCTAACCCACGCAGTCGGCGTCGCCTCCGCTCCCGTTCCTGCACAGGGACGCCTCGAGCGATATGCCGAAAGGACGGGGAGACGCGGCTCCTCCTGTCTCCGTCTGTCTGCAGAAATCGAACGGAGGAAAAAAAAAAAAAATCCGACACGAGCTCCAAGTTAATACTAGTTAAATAAAACTGAAAGGCGGTGGCATCATATGCCCAGGGAGCTTCAGATGGTGCCCGGGAGGACTCGGATTTCTGAACACTGCCAGCGTAACGAAAAAACAAACAAACAGAAAAATGCGTGTGTGCCTGCGTCGACTCAAGAAATAAAGCAGAGGAGGAATTCTGGGATTTGCCTTGTGATCTAAGTTAGCACGGTTAGCCTAAGAAGAACGAAGAGATATAAGACACCGACCGATTTCCCACCGGGGTGTCAAATGACAGCCCTCTGCTCTTTGACGTCGCCCGTTTTATCCGATGTGACATCGCAGCATAGCAATTACAGAACGTGAAATTACACACCTAGATGCATCGTTAATACAGGGACGAACAATTCGGCTGTGTTAACTCAGAGTTTGGAAAATCAACAGCCACTTATTTTCATAGAAAAGAGATGCAAAGGGATTGTAAGCCAATAAAATACTTCAGTTTAATGATTTTGGTTGCATCATTACCAAAGCTTTGACAGGAAGCGGTTAGCATACAAAGGCCTTGCAAAGTCTTTATAGCATTATATAAAAACGACTCCGATGCTAGTGTTTCGTTAATGGGTCGGTTGCACATTCTCTTGTGAACTTATGTAGTATTAGCACCTACCTCATGAAAAAAGAAAAAAACCTAACTGGATAACTGGAAAATAAGACCCACCGGGAGGCAAAGAGAACCAAATATTTATGGTGTGAACAAAACAGGGATCAGCTGGATCAATCAGCACAATACCAGGGGTAGTCTACTTCCCAAAACAACAGCTACCCCCAAAGGTGTCCACACCCTCTCCCCCATCTTTGATCTATTAATTTTCGAATGAATAATCCATCGGCCATAAAGCTAACCCTTTTAGGCATCGACACATTTAGAGATAGGGTGCCTCACACTCGGTCCACAGCCTGTTTCCTCCGATCGGCCAGACCTCATACAGATGTGTCCGCTAGGCTGGAAGCCAGCTCCGACATGAGAAGTTTATTATTGAGTCGATGGCTGATGGAGTCGAGGGAATAATGAGTCTAAACTGTGAACAACAACAGGAAAGTCAATTGATCTGGAACCGCAAGCGTTTGAGGTTCACAGCTTCTGATCCATGCGGAAAAATTATAAAAACAGACTTTGTTTGAAACAGACTGTCCAAATAACGGAGTATTATTTAGCACTGTATAATGACAGTTGATTTCCAGAGAGAAAAACAAATGGTATAGCTAGGACTTCCTCCATCTGGAAACCTCATGGAGACTCGTGAGGAAGACAGTGACACCCTACAGCAGACCGGGACCAGGAGGAGGTTCTCCGGCGGCGGTCTGATGTGCCGCTCTCTATTCGGCCGTGCATCATCGTCGCAGACCAGAAGCAAGCCCTGGAGAACCCAGACTGGAAAGGTCTGTCTAGACGCTGGTTGACTGGAAGAAACACAGCTGCTGCAGATGTTGGTGTGCCGGCAACCGTGTCATGTGACGAGGTCAAGGAAATCCAGCCAATGAGGCGACGACAGCGGGCGGTCAGTCTTTATGCACCAAAGAGGAACGAAAGCCCAGATCATCGCCACTGGAATGGGATCCAGAGCAGAACCGCAATATGCACGCCTAAGTTGGTTTGTTTTATTTTAAAGGTGCCATTTTTAAATACAGGGCTGACCAGGAAAATCTAAAAACCAAAAAAGAATAAATACATGATGTCATAAGACTATGATCTGTATGAACTGTATGATCTCCTGGTTGGCCACAAAGACAGCACCTGATCTATGGATGGGGGAGGGGCAGGGTGGTCATGTGACTCCAGGTGGTCATGTGACCACTATTGTAGGTAGTTCACCTCATCTGCCTTCATTCATGATAATAATAGGTATGACATGCACGAGTCATTTTTCACCACTGTCAGAACAGCACCTCCATTGTTTATGTGTGTCATTGACACTAATGACTCAGGTCCCAACTTGCTCCAGAATTCCCTACAAAGCCTCCATTCACAGCCAACACCCAGAGTCCTATACATGAGGCTACCAGAGTCACACATTCTTATTTTCAATTAGGTTATCGCTTATAATTTACGTGCTATCCATCTTCCAAGTAATTATCCCAGTCAGGACCGGGCCCTGGAGCTCGTCGCAGGCAGCAAAGGGCACGTGGCTGGGGTACGCTTCGGATGGGATGGCGGGTTATTGTAGGACAAATAGGCAGGGCCACATGCTATGGGCCGATTCGCCTGAATGCATGCCTTTGGGCTACAAGAGAACACCCACCTGACAAAAGGAGGACAAATAAACGGCACCGACGCAGAGCGGGGGCAGGACCCAAAACCCCCAAACCCCCAACCCTGTAGGCGTCAGGAAACTCTGCTGCCCCCTCAAGCCCCCAGACATCCCACCGACTGCCGTTTGTCCACTTATACACCAAAATTTGCCCGTTCCTTTGCCATGTATTTAGATACCATTGCCTTCATGAAATAGAGCATTTATAAAATATTCAGAAGTGGGTAGTTCAGGTCCAGAGAGCAAAAACCCAGACCAAGGTTTTGTTTCAACCAACCAGTTGAGCACTTCGTGACCGTGACTCTTTATACTCAACTGGTTGGTTGAAACAAAATCTTGGTCTGGACTTTTACTCTCCGAACCTGAACTACCCACCTCTAAAAATATTTATATTAGTGTATTAAATATACTAATAATTTTTACCAGTGTAATTAATAGTTAAATATTTATGATAGATTAGGAAAAACAATTGCTTGGAAATAGGTATCAAAATGAATAAGACCTTTCACAAGAATACTTTTAAATTAAATTCCTACTTACGCCAGACCTGCCCTCCCCAAACCAGGCAAAAAGAACAAACTCAATGGCAAACCCAGTATTAATTTCCTGCACTCAACAGTCCTGAACGCTGCCGACTGCAGTAATTGGATGAGTGCATTCTGGAGGGTGCCATGCTGGGCGTAGCTGGACTCGGTCAAACAGGCGCAGGCTGTTGCTATATTCAGCTACCCCCTGTACCTGCAAGGTCTCAGAAACAACTGGTCTTCGCACCTGTAAGCTTGCTCTCCACCTGCCTGGAAATTAAAGGGCACACATTCATTCTGGCTATTACATTCTAACGGTAAGTACAAAGCAAGATAATAAGATCATGAAGGAAAATGTTCAGGCTACAATTGTCATTTCATAGGGCTTAACAACAGGTTGTGTGTGGATTTTTAATGAGAGTGCTGGGATTCTGCTTCTTTTAATTTATATTAAGCTTCCATGACCCGAGTTCCACATGCAGTCGCACTGTAAGACTCCGCGTCCGCAGAGTTAGATGCATTCTCTTTCAATCCCCCTGACTAATCGACTCGCTGTCATGATACAGGGGTGAAGGACTCAGAGACCTCTTGAAACATTCCTCCTAGTTATTCAAGGTCCCGGCAGCGACGAGAAGTTAACCCATCTCGCACATATGCTTAATTAAAATCTCGTAGTTAATGAAGCATGACTCATATAAAAGCCAGAAAGGACTCCAAAGCCGTGACAGCTTGCTTTTCAGGTCCAGTTTTTTTAAAATAATAATAATAATAATTAAAAGTCAGCAACACAGATGCCGATATTACAATTCAATATATACAACTGTGAGCAGGTCGGTCTGACCTTGCAGATGGAAGTCGGCCGTGTGATTTGCGGCCGGCCTCTTGATGTCCGAGGAGCGATACACGACGTGAGGGCGCCCACCGCCTCTCCACTCCTCCAGCGTCACGCGGTCACCCTGCTCCAGGGGCTCGATGTAGAACTCCTCGTTCTCTGTCCGGATCATTCCGGCCTGGGGGGGGGGGGGACAGAAAACAAAGCAGCAGACACACAGTACAGTCAGCACGATTAGCTCGTCGCTCTGCGAAGGCTTTTCCCCAAAGGTGTTTACCAAACTGACAATGTCACCCATCTATAAATCTGTATATCAGAGTCTTTATTGCCGCGTGATCAAAGCCGATGGAATTTTTTGTGGCCACATCTTGCGACTGTTGGAGACACCATGACGATGGACTAAACTCACAGTTAAGACGCAACACAGACAGAAAAGAAATACAAGACTCGAGAAACGCGACAGAGACAAGTAAATGTGATATATAGTAGTTTGTCTAAATATTTACTCAAAAAAGTTCCTTGCAAAAAAAAATAATAGCAGGGCTGAGCATATCTATGGAGAAAGTCACCGTAAATAACATAATAGGTTGTCTAAATGCTTTTGAAGGTGCTGTACTGATGGATTAACATTAACATCATGTCCTCCGGGAAAATAAATTGCCCGGCATTTCAGTACAATGCTGCTGAGCTCGGAGTAAGCTATTCGGTTATACAGCCTCTTTGTCTTCACGGTAGGAGGCCAAGGCCGAGCCAAACGCTGATCCGGATTCAGACATTACTAAGCGCGCACACATTCTGACACTGCCTCCTTACTCAGCATCTTTGCTCTTTGGGGACTCGAGTTCTCGGCGAGTCCTCGGAGGAAGTGGCCTTTGTGGAGCTACGCAGAAAGACGGCAGCCATTAAAGACGCAGCAATGAACCATTAATGGTAAGACATTTAATGGGGAATGTGCCAGACTGATCGCAAAACAGCCATGGAGTTTGCAAAATAATAAAAAGGACAGCGTGAGGATCTGGGTGCATCAATTAGCAAGTGAATATGAACAAACTGTTTGTTGTGTGTGAGTTGAGACCGCCAATGACCTAAAGCCAAGCTTCCTCAACATACGTTACAGTGTTCGGAACCCAAACTCATTCGGTCCTCATGGAATCCAACAAAGAACTTTCGTTAATCTTCCCAAAGTCACGACGTCCGCAGAAACATTCTTGAGAATGAATCCCGTGGACTGAGTGAGTTTTGGAAATCTGCTCTCCACACGCCTTAAGGCTGGAATCCACGTCACCTGATTCACCCTCCTCATATACCGAGGCCACACTCGTGTAACACAGCTAATATCTCTTGGTTTAGAGCCCGCACTGTAATGTTTCACTTCCGTCTTTTATTAATTTTCAACTTACGCAAACACTTCCAGGCGTACGCAATCCCGTCTGGGAAATGAGGCTATAACAGGACACACTACGCCCACCACCAGCCACAGGAAGAAGGGACTTTTATGTTCTGTTACCACCAAACCCTACTGCAAAGTGACCATTGTCATTTTGCAAGCAGACCTTGCATGACTAGTTTGGCTTATACAACAAAGACAGTTAACTGCCGACGATTCCTACAGAGCCGTTAAAGTGACAGTGTGGATGGTCCTTAGTGGAGTCTGACATTACGGATGGTTTGCCTGCTGGTCCAGGCACAGGCCTTACCCTCCTACCTGACAGATCGCTCGCGTTGGCTCCAACAGACAGGCCCCGCCTCTGGCCTGCTGTGGAAGCGTGTGCGGCAGGAGCTATTAGCATGGCACTACGGCAGAGCCAGACGTCGTCATCTCTGGCTCGCTCACGCCACAACGCAACGAGGGCAAAAAAAAATCTAATACCCGAATCAACAAGAGCAATGAAACGGGATTCCTCACGAGGATCAGCATTAATGAGAATGAGCTGGAAGGCTTCGAGAATGATCTCGGTACTGAATGTTCCAAGCCAAATGTTCTGCGTCGCTCTCATCTTCAAAAGACTGAGAATCAAAAGCAGCTGCTGTTGTTCACATACAAACATATTTGCTTCTGCGGTCACAGTTTTATTTTGACTTCGAGTGATTATTGACTGGAAGGGCACCATTGTGACTCATCCCTGTATATAAGATGTCAAAGTCACAGGGAGCATTCAGGCCTCATGTTAGGCATGGATTATTGCACAGGCAATAATATCGCTTGGACAAACAGCAGGGCCTTGCCGTGCCTCAGGGGAAAGTGCAATGGCTAGTTACATTGGCAACTCCCAAATGTGGATAATTCAGGTCCGGAAAATAAAGATTTCGTTTCAACCAACCAGTTGAGCATAAGGAGTCACAGTGACAGAGTACTCAACTGGTTGGCTGAAACGAAATCCTGGTCTGGATTTTTATTGTCTGGACCTGAATTGTCCACCTCTGGCAACACCTGCTGCGTCCATGCTGATGTCAGCCAGGGGCCTCCAGATAACTTAATCCACCCCTGGCTCATATATAAAGATGTGAAATTGTATGCAGACTACATCCATCATGTTAGATGGCTATAATTTTCATTCCCTTTATAGCCAGAGTATGCGTACAATCAGTATGACCTGAGCATCTCAAAACTGTCCTGCTTGCTTCTGATTGTGAGTTCAAACTAAAGCGCCTCGATTTACCGTGCAGGTTACAAACAGGACTGCATTTCCCCACGTGTGCGCCCTGTCAGTCCGTCAAATCAACTAAAGGCATCTTCAACAGGGATGAACCGCTCATATTTTCCATGCCAAATATCCACGCAGATTCTTTATTCCTTTGTTGGCACGGTGCTAAGACTCAAAATGCGCCCATCCGCCCCCCCCCTGTGCCTGACATCGTGCCCTAATCCCCTGGTGATGGTCTCACATCTACCCAGGTGCGCCAAGCACAGTGGATACAGGGACATTTTAAAGCGATGAAGAACCGAACACCTTTTTCTAATTACGGGTTCTGCAGAAAACACTCATTATGCAAGCACATATGATACCACCGCAAGCTGGGTGCTGGGGGGGCACCAGAACAAGGTTTTATGAGCATTATAAGCACGGTCGAGTTATTATTAACTGACAAGTAGTGCTGATTTTACTGCTACAACAACAAGCCAAAATTTATGAAGTGCAGCCAGCTGAATTTGCCACCGTGAATATAGTGTCGGTGTTGAGGAACGTGTTTGCCAAGCATCGGCCCCCACCCCCATTCCTCAGCTCCGCACCCCCCTGGCTGACAGCTTTGTTTCATGTTGAGATAACATATGCAATCCACTGCCTGTTTGAAAACCACACACACGCGTGAAATCGAGGTGAACGTGTTTTTCTTTTTTTTTCATGACTTACTGAGGCAGAGAGCTGACTAAGGACTTTGGAGAGCAAACAAAGACTTGGAAGGTGCCTCGGGAGTCGTGATTAGTCACAGATATGACAAATGGGGGGGGGGGGATTCCTAACGATCGGGTTAATTGTGAGGATGTGGCACAATGGAAGCCTTCAAATATACGAGAGGATATCTTTACAGCAATTTAGCTGGCAACAAGTACCAGCAATGATCGAATGACGGTTTGCAACCTGAAAATCTATTGTTCGATTGGCAAATGACTGGCTCATGGAAGTTTTACTTACACAAAAAACGTTCTGAGGGCAGAATGAAAAACGACTAGTTTAGAGAGATAACCAGTAAGATAAAGAGGAGGTGGGTCCAAGCAACTAGAGGAGGTCGGACCAACCAATCAGATGTCTTGGTCCCGCCTCATCTAGTTGCTTAGACCCACCACCTCTACAATCTGATTGGTTATCTCTCTGAACCAACCATTTTTTTCTTATGCCCTCAGAACATTTTTGTGTAAGCAAAACTCCCACGAGCAAATGACTGGCAAACAACAGGTCTGCAGCATGTCAGATAAACAGCATCTTTTCGGGCAGGTAGAAGGCAAGGAGCTTCACACCCCCAAGTGTACAGTGTTGTGTCTTGTGTGCCCTGCATGTACTTCCTATGTTCACACGGGTTTCCAAAAAGCAAGCGAAACACATCGTGTAGGTGGACGAGTGTCGGTGTATCAGGGATCGCCAACCTTATTTAAAGTAAGAGCTGCTTCTACAAATAAAAAGGTCTCCTTAGCTATGTGTTTGAGACAAGGTGATATCAAGTGTTATGCAAGTCACTCATTGGCTTCCTGTGAGCTTCTGGTATCTCTCAGGAAACCACTGCTCCGCCAGTCCATGTAGAGCAGTCGTTTCCAACATATTGCCTGAGAGATACCAGTAGCTCACAGGAAGCCCATGAGTGACAATGACTGACGGCGTGACATCCCATCCAAGGTGGCCCCGTCCGAATGCCACAAGCTCCTGGGCTCCACTCCAGGCTCTCTCTGATCCTGTGCTGGATCGGCAGTTATCCAAAGCGAATAGATGTTAAGCAAAGCTTTATGTGCAATGACTCCTGATGCTGTTTAAAAAATGCCGCAATCGTTTTATGAAGTATGGTTTAATCGAAACCTATCCAGAACGTTTTACATACAGTAAACAAATCATTTGTTATTTAGAGAAAATGGTTCGTGCAATATGCTAAAATGGGCACATGCAGTATGAAGAAATACAGTACAGAATCCTAGGATCTTAGGACCACGTTTAAGGACTGGTAGGTCTGGGCTGCGGAAACTGCAAATGAACTGAATTTCCACGGGACGTTAGCCAGGTGTACAGAACATTCCTGGATCGCCCTGCAGACCTTTGACAGCAGGTTTTTATAAAAATTGATCTCACTGGTCAAAACCGAAAACTCACATTTGACATCAAGTAATATTGCAAGTAGCTTATTGCTCCTTTTCAGCCAGTGGACCTGGGCACCTCCCCATCTTTGAGAGCCAAAATGTTCTGTTCTGGGGGTAGTTGGGCCTCCACCCTTGAGCTAAAGTTAGCCAACGCAACAACGAGTCATGACACAGGAGGAAACTTTGTGTTTTTGGAATAGCCAAGTCAACATCCAGAACTCAATCCAGAGAAAGGATCTGGCAAGTTCCTCGAGCAGTTCTGCAAGAACTGGGCTTAAGGGCTGTATTACATGCATTTTTCATGCAAATTGAATAAGACTGTATTTCCTTGTTCATTTGGGTACTCTGGGTACTCTGGTAATCAGAAATAGTGATGGAACAAAGTATCCATGCTC